GTACCATGGCCAAAAAATTATTGGATCTCGAGATTATTTTCGAGATATACTTTATATATTATAAAGACATTTTTCGAAAATATCTCGAGATCCAATAATTTTTTGGCCATGGTACTCTAATCATTTTTTACGCAGAATGAAGAAAAGAATCGATCTGTGTAAAAAAAAATATGCATTTCTATTTAAAGAAATTATGCAATTGTTAATTGCACATGCACTGCTGCATCGAAAAAAAATTTAAAGGCCTACGGATGTAGTGCACTTCGAACCATTTACCTTTCTCCTTTGGCATTTTTTCGTGAATGCAATAATAACGGAGTTGTGGCGTCGCCTCCCATGCTCGCCGCCAGAGGGCTCGCGCTCTCACAAGCACTCGACCGACCCCTGTGTATACATATACATTCCTCGAACGACTTCCCAATATCCCAGTCTTCTAAGGCAGGGCCTGCTAGAAAGCCTTACTGATGAGTCCACTGGCAGGCCCCGGACGAAACGCGCCCCCTACTTTCCTTTTCTGTCCTCCTACGATTCTCACGAGTTCCTACCCGCAGCGAAGCAACGCCACAGAGAGTTATGACTTGTAACAATTGCGTGGACCCGTCGAAGAAGGAATTGTTCGAGGAAAAAGGGGGTAAGAAACAGGAGTCGAGCAGATCGCTGGGGCTCTTGCGGCGTTTCCTATATCGCGATTCGGTGCGATCCAACCCCTGCAAACTCGGCGCATCGCCGTGTCGAGGGGATCTGGGGGAGGGGGGGAAAAAAAGAAAAAAAAAAGGTAGGCCAGCGAACAGAGCGAAGGCCATCGGAATCGAGCGGAGGGGGGCGACTCGCGTCCGGTCGCGGCGAGCAATTATAACTACTTTTCCACTCGATCTCGATGGTATTAGGTCGGCCGAGAACCGAGGCGCGAAGTCGTAGCCCGAAGGGGGGTTGCCTACGCGATCTCCGTCGGTCTTTCTCAGCCTCTCGACCTCGCGCGTCGATCGAAGCCGACGGCGTCGCGTCGCGTGGACGGAGTATCCGACACAACCCCGGGAACACGTCGGAATAACTCGCGGGACACCCCCCCGGAGATCGGAGATCGGAGATCTTCCCCGCTAACCGATCTCGATTTCTCTAATTTTTTTTTTTTTTCTTCTTCAACCACCCTTCCTCCTCCTCCGTTCTCGAAGAGCGGAGGAGGAGGACGGTGACGAAAGAGCGTTCCGCGAGAATCGAGGCGTGCACGGTGGGAATCGTTCGAGGGTAGACACAGAAGGGTATATCGGGGTGGGGTTTCAGGGCAGCGCGAGAAACAGCGAGGAGGGGAGACGCGGCGGAGTCGACGGTCGTCGACGGTGGTGGGAACGGGCGGTCTGCACGGGGGCAGAAGGCAACCGGCGGCGTGTGTACCGTTGTTTTTAGCCCGAGAGACGGAAAGACACGCGGAGAAGGACGGACGAACCCCCGTTGGGAGGGTTGGAGGGGGGGTGAACCGAGTACCAGGGGCGGAGGAGGGGGTGTCGCGGATGCTGCGCGGGCGGGTGCGGAGGAAGGAGCGTCGAGGAGCCGAAAAGCGATCCAGGGGAATGCCGCGGAGAAAGAGAGTCCGGAGGCGGGTGGCAAGGGCATCGAGGGTCGTTGGCGGAGTAGGGGGGGAGGGGAACGAAGGGTAGAATCGAGGCGAAGGTGGCGAAGCTACCCGGGACGGGAACGGCAAAAAGGAAGATGGCGGTCCTGGCGACACTTTTCCGTACCGTCTCGTTCCTCGACGCGCCGTTCCTCTCTGATGGGACCGAGAAGGTACCAAACACGGTCGTGTAGTCGATTCGTAGCGGATTCCCGGAAAGAATCCGCGCGCCGGCGAGTCGCTACGGTCGGTGGCTGCTCGCGAGGAACGGAAACGGATACAACGGTTAGAGGGGTAACGGGAACGGGAAGAGCAAGAGAGAGAGGGTGGATGGTAGAGCGCGCGCAAGCTTTCTCCCTGCAAAAGAGATCCACCGGTGATTACGACTACCGTGGATGCACGCACCGGAGGGCGATAGATAGCTCTGTGGGAGATAGAGACGCGCATGAGTTGGGGAGGGAGGATGGAGATGGGCGGCGCGGACAGGGGGGGGGGGGGAGGGTGGAGAGAGAAAAGCTCGAGGGTGAAAAGTAGCGGGAGATAGACGGGAGTCGGAGAGAGACGGGAGCAAGGAAGGGGCGAACCAGAGGGGTTACGGGGGTCGGTGGAGCGTGGTCGTGGAACGGTGGGGATAGAACGAAGGAGAATTTCGGGCGCGCGCCGTTGGATGTGTGAGTGCGTGCGGGGCACGCGCGCGCGCGCTTTCGAGTTGGAAAGACAGAAAGGCCTAGAGAGGAGCGAAGGCGCAGCGAAGTTTCCGTCGTCTCTCGAAGAGGGACCCGCTCCGGGTACGCTCGGTGTCCTCAGAACCGCGCAGTTGCTGGTGCGCGGCTACACGGGGTCGGTGTTACCGTGTCACGCGCGCACGACACCCCCCCGAACCAAAAAAAGAAGTGTGTACCGTGCGTGGAGAGAGAGGAGTCGTGCGTACGGGTGCCGTGGCCTGTGACTGGCCGTAACGCGTTCGCGGGACAACCTTGCTCGCGGGACGATTAAACCGCGGGACCGTGCCTCGGGGGGTACGAGGGGTGCCGCGCACGGAACAAGGAGGACATAGAGAGAGAGAGATAGTGCGTCGGGTAGGGAGGAGAGAAGGGGGAGGAGGGTAGGGGAAAAGGCTCGAAAAAGGGAATTTCGACTCGTCGTCGCGAGGACGGACGGTGCGGTGCTCTCGGTCGCGGGCTCTCGGGGCGCGAAAAGTGGATTCGTCGAGAGACCTCTCCTCGTACGTCGCGAACGACGCCCTTGTCCCTCTCCTTCGAAAATTGGTAGCCAAGGTGCGGACTACGGAGACACGGATTTTACTGGCAGGATGCTGCGCTAACGGCGGCGGTGCTGAGGGGCGCGCGCGTGTCGAAACCTCGGGGCCTGGGCTCGCGCGGGACGAAGCCACTACGGCGCGCGTGCAAATCATTCTCTCCGCGGACGCGTCTCTCTGCGACGAGACGCGATTATCGAAGGTGCGCCACCGTCGGTTGGAGAGTAAACGCGGAACGGCCGCCACGAGGAGCGATCCGGACTGCTCTTCTCCGCGTCAACGATACACAACCGATCGAACCAGCCACGGCAGACCGACCAATCTCGGAATCCGTCCGTTCGTAGTGGAATCGAGTGGAATCGTCGGATAAGAGGAGTGGATCGCGAGGAGGGACCAGGAATCAGGAACCAGTAACCAGGAACCGGGAGGAGGAACGTTCGAGCAGTCGTCGGTTTGGTGAACAGGGTCGTGAAGAACGAGAGATCCGACAACGGTCCTCTCGTCGCCGTTTATCGTCGTCCGGAGAGTCGCCGTCACGGAGTAGAGGAGCCGTGCGCGCGCTCGGCGGCGCGCGCGCGCGCGTGCTCTCCCGCGCGGATCCTGGTGCGCGGTACCATCGCCGAGGGTAGCGGAGCATAACCTCACTTTTCGTGTCCGTGGAAGGAATTCGGTGGTTGGTGTTCCGAGAGCACAAGTTCCTCGTTCGAGATACATACATATATATATATGTATATCCGTCGTTAAATAGTTGGAACGAGGTGTTTGGGGTGTTGGGTGTCCGTCTACCCGTAGCCCTACCGAGCACACGGGGGTGTGTCCATGAAGTCGAAGCAATGGGAAGGAGCGAGCGTACCGTCCCCGGTGGCCCGTAGACCGTCGCGGTTGACACGGTGGTACGCGTTGCCGTGTCGCCGGCAAGCGTGATCATCGAGGACGACCCGAGGGTGCGAAGAAACGGGCGAAGGGCTGGTAGTTTAGGATGCAGCATGAACCTCGGTGTCCGGTATTGGGAGCTGGCGAGCTTCGGAAGGGGGACTACGGTGTCCAGGTGCTTTCGCCGGTCGAGAGGTCTCAGGTCTCCGTTGTCCTCGGCACGAGCGGCGTCGGCGTCGTGGTCACCGGCGCTGCCGGCGCAGCAGGCGCAGCAGCAGCAGCAGCAACGACGGCGGCCGTCGTCGTCCTCGCGGTCCTCGGTGCCCTGCTGGTCGTTGTTGTCGAGAGCTGCCGTTCCCGGTGTGGTCGCTGCGCCGCGACGGTGTCGGAAGTGGCGGCCACCACCTGGCAGCAGACCGACGACGGGAACTGGTACGTCGAGAGGAGGCAGAACCAGAGGGAACGGTATCGTCGGTATCGTCGAGATCGCGGCCACGGTCGTCGGGAGGGCCAAGGCGAGATCGCGAACGAGGGCGTGCGGCACAAGGAGCTGGAAACGCAGGTGGCGCAACAGAAGGAAGAGACGGAAGCGTCGGATCGTACCTGGAGGAGGAGGAGGAGGCGGTGGCACGAGGATCTCGAGTGCGTCGAGTGCGCGTTCTTTTTGCCGGTCGACGATCGACGGGACCATCGTGGAGAACGTCCGAGGGGTACCTCGCGTCTGCTACAGGGGGACTTCTAAGGGCCCCGCCGACCCGGCTATCGGCTCCGGGATATCAACGAGCGGGGCTGACGCTGCTCCAACGGAGAACGATCGTCTCGATCGTACGCGGGAGGAGGCATCGTCCGACGGACCGGTCGCCGACGCCGCGTACCGCCGGTGGTTATTGGCGCTGGACGAGGACTCGTTCTTCGAGCCGTCGGCGGCTCGTCTCGCGTGCGGTACGCGCGATACAACCGAGACGATCGAGAGGAGGACGAGGAGCCAGAGAACGAGGAGAACGACGACGACGACGACGAAGACGACGACGACGAGGACGGGCCTCGAGCTTCGGCGGCAGCGATGCGGGACCTCCTGCAACCAGACGACGAGCACGCGAATCCGGATCGTCCAGGGCCTCGGTACCGCCGGAGCTCCAACAACCACCGAACCAACGAGACGGCTGGCCCACCACCGCGCTGGTTTACGATCGTCGACCGGGACGACGACCACCATCGGTACGAACGGGGGACGCTAGCGTTCCCGAGCTCCTCGTGCCCATGCGGCTCGATCCGCCCGGATTCACGGGACCACCCACGTCGAACGACCGGAGCAACGGGAACGACGATCGTTCCTCCACGAGCTTGCCTTTCGAGCTTCCATCGACCGGTTGCTTGCCCTGTCGTCGGTTCGCGTCGGTTCGGGACGGCCCCGATGGCCCTGATACCGGAAACGCCACTGCCTTTTACGTCACGCACGGTCCCGTTCGCCGTCGCGGTCCATCTTCCTCGTCCGCGTCGCGCCGCGGCCACGCGCCGACAACACCATGGAACCTACGGACGGGACGCGTCCACGATCGACCTCGGATCCCTGTCGCGAGCGACCCGATCGCCGCTTACACTGCCTACAACGACACCGCCGGCTCGTCACGCGGCAACCCTCGAGACGATCGCGACGCGTACCAAACGCGACGACGCGCCGGGACCGCCGCGCGAGTCGACCACACTGCCCGGTTCCAGGAGCCGATCGCCAACGGGAGACCAACCAGGCTGTCCAATTCGCGCGCGACCAAGTACGGATTGTTGTTCGTGTTGTATCTGCTTGCTTGGCCGTTGGTGTCCTCGACGAGTCCCGAGGGACTCGGTCACGGTACGTCCCTCGGCGGCCACGACGCGGGTATTCGCCATCGACGTAGCGACCCGCAGCACGCCACCTCGTCGATGTCGGTGTCGAGCGACGAGCGTTGCCGTCGCGCGCGTCACGAGCAAACGCGGCAAGATCGGAGAGAGGAGGCGGATGACGAGGGATCGTTTCGGGACGAGCACGAGCCGACGCATCCTTACAACGAATACAGCTGGGAGGTGAACCAAGTGAATCCTTGGCTATCGGCCTGCGACCTGGCGGGACCAGCGCCGGCCGATCTTCAGGGTAGCTGCGGACCACCGGAGGTGCCCAAGAACTGCCCGAACGCCTGCACGATCGACGACGGGGACGCGGACGCGGACACGAACGAGTTCCGGCGTGTGATCGAGAAGGTCGAGGTCACAGAGAGGATGAGGGAAAGCTGGTCGATCGACGAGGACCGTACCGGGTCGAACGGCGGTGGTACGAAGAACGGAAACGGTCGCGGGAGACCCGATGGCGTACGGACGGCTCCGGAACAGTGCCTTTTTTATCTCGAGGAGTCGCATAAGAGGGACATCTGTCGGGATGATTTTGGCCGGAGCAGTACGCGAAGTTTTTTAACCCCGAGGGAGAATCGATATTGGTTCACGAGCGGGTTGCGTCTGCGGCACTGCTGCGAGCACGCGGTGGTCAACGCCCTGGCACCCGGCAAGGGCGGTCCGCTCGAGAACGTGCTAAATGGTGGCCAGAAGTGCGCCGATGCCCTGGACAAGCTGTTGCTCGTCGATGCGTTAGCCGCGAGATTACATTGTGAGTTCGAGGAAGTGCTGGCGCGATACGACTGCGCTCAGCCCTATTCGGTCATCTTCAACTGCACCCATTGCAAGGTAAGACAATCTACTGTTCCTAATGGGTTATCCTTTGGCAAATTCTGCCACGCGGTATTTACAGAGACTCAGCCAGAAGTTTGGTCGTTCGGATTCTCAGCTTTCCTAACTGTATTCTGCCACCCATGGTCTTTATGCACCGAGGGTAAATTGGACCAAATTTGGTGCTCGTATTGCAACTCAATTTGTCCCAATGTGGGGGACAAGTCGTTCAGTTTGAAATTTTTCCCCTATTTTTCTCGAGTATTTCTAACTATATTTTCTCACCCCTTGTTCTTATGCATCAAGGGTGAATTGAACTAAAGTGCATCCTTGCAACGTAAATTTGAAATTTAGTGCTCGTATCGCAACTTAATTTGTCCCAATGTGAGGACAAGTCATTCAGTTTAAAATTTCTCCTTATTTTTGTCCAATGATTCCTAACTGTATTTTGTCACCCTCTGCCTTTAGACACCGAGAGTAAATAGAACTCAACGTGCCCCAATGCGACACGTTGATACACAAAAATCTCGATTCAACCGTCAACAACTATGTCTGTTATCTGTTATTTGCAGTATCTTATCCCAGCTATTAACAGGGTTTTTAATTCAATAGAGAACCAATATAGGTATACTTATAACCGAAACATTTTCCCCTAGTCTCAAATGGTAGAAAAATTACCCACTGTCTGAATCACAGTAAAAAATGTAGCGTTCATGAACAAACTAATATAAAAATCGAATTAATCGAAAATACATATCGTCGTACAGGGGGTGGTCCACCCAAATATCTCCCCCAAATTTGTGCTCGTGAAAAAAAATATTTTACACGCTCTTTGAACCATCGAATTAATTTCCCGGACATCCAATGAAAATTAGTTATAATTTGAATTTTTTTTTTATTTCAAAAAATATTTTTTCCATCCCCCGAGGATTGGAGAAAATATTAGGGTGTATATTCCACCCCCCCCGGAAGTGTCTGTATTTTCGGATGACGAACGAGGCGAAGTTTCGAGGCATCGCCGATACAAGTCGATTCGTCGCAATTTCCACATCCACTTGTCCAGCTCGCCGCCCCCGTTCGCCGCGACATCGCCGTTATTATCGAGTTTGAATAGTTTCCGTCGACGCGTTTCCAGCAAGTTGTAACTCCGCGTTTACGCGATACGCTTACGCCGCGGAATTAATAAACGCGCTTTCGCATTCGCGAATCGACGGAACTCTCGGGGGCACGTTGCCAGTAATTATGTCCGCGCCCCCGGGACTTTTTTCCACCCCCGTTTTTCTCGTAGAATTAATACGCGGTGCAACAACGTTCTCCGTTTCACCCTTTCAATTCTTTTTTTTTTTGTTATACAGAACACTTGACGAGGAAATATATATAAATTTGGAGCCCCTGATAACGAAATAAATTTATCGAAATACCATAGTAGGATCCAACAGACATATTCTCATTTCGTATGGGGGTTTCTAATCGCGTCCATTTTCACGTAATCGCCCGTTGCAAAGTTTAAAATTAAAATTCCGTGATAAACGAACGCGAAAGATTCTCAAATATTGTACGAAAATAAATTTTAATACACGTACCAATTAAACGAATAAAATGCTAGTGTCTGATTGGCAGCAATTTTTCAATAAAAATTTAATATCGAAAGATTCTCAAGCAATTCCTTGGATGTTTCAACACTAAAACTCACAAATATCGGAGAGAACGCGCCAACAAAAAGTAGAGTGTCCAAAAAACAAATTTTTGTTCGATCATTGATGGAATTTGTAATGTTGCTCGCGTCTGGTTCGCGGTATTATCGAAGATAGAGAGTTTTCAAGGGGGGGTTGTTCGATTCCTTCGGAATTAACCGTGTAAACGAGGTATTGTTTCGCGCGGGATATGCTCGCGCGGAACGATAGACGACGGTCGCAAAGAATTCCCCGAAAATTCGAGGGTCGACTGGGGGGTGTGGGAACGATCTGGCAGCCAGGCTGGAATCGGAATCAACCCCTTTGTTTCGAGATCTTGTCGCATTGCACTTGGCAAGCGACGGAGACTTAGCGCCGCGTGCAGGATGCGCCCCCGGCGAACGACCTCTTCTGCAATCAGAGCTAATAAGCGTTTCGGCCAGAATGCCCCTGCAATTAGGAACGGATTCAATTTGTCCTCCCCCGTTCCTCTTCTTTTTTTTTCTGCCCGACTCCCCCGAGGCTTTTTTCTAAAGAGACTTTGGCCGGAAAGAAGAGGAACTCTCTACTCGCGACTGTTCCGCTACCCCGCTGGATTCGTTGCACGTAGGATTCCCCTACGGTTCGAACGCCCGGGAAACTTGGGCGAGAAAGGGACGGGCGAGCTTAATTCGTACCCCCTTAGGCGGAATTACTTGTCCGCGAAGAGAAATGGAAACTTTCGAACACGTCGACACGCGGTTGCGAATCGTTCTCCGTGGTCTGTTTCGAGATCGTTCGAAAACGTGCACAGGTGGCCCTTCAACAACACGGTTTCCGCTTTGATAAGAAAATCACGAAGACCTTTGTACCCTGTACTTCTACAGCCCTGGATGACATGATTTTTACTTAACGTATTTAGAAACTAAATTACCTTAAAATGATGACGCGAGGGAATAATGAATTATAGTGGCTTTACGTGAAAATATAGGCCAAAATAGGACGATAGTGAAGAATGCCAATTTGTTGACGGAGGCTTTGTTAAAAAGTTATTAACGTTTAAAGTTCTGTCCATGCTGAATTTTTTTCTAGAAAATGGGTAGGATTTCAGGGATATGTGTATTCACCAAAAATGATTGTAATTGACCCCCGCAACCGAAAATATTTTTTCCAGGACGATTTGAAATTTTTTAATTTCACCATAAAGTCTCGGCAGTTTCTCGAATTTTTTTCTCGGAACTGCATAGGATTTCGGAGGTATGTCTTTTGACATAAGATGCTTGTAATCGACCCCTGCAACTGAAAATATTTTTTCCAGGACGATTTGAAATTTTTTAATTTCACCATAAAGTCTCGGCAGTTTCTCGAATTCTTTTCTCGGAACTGCATAGGATTTCGGAGGTATGTCTTTTGACATAAGATGCTTGTAATCGACCCCTGCAACTGAAAATATTTTTTCCAGGACGATTTGAAATTTTTTAATTTCACCATAAAGTCTCGGCAGTTTCTCGAATTTTTTTCTCGGAACCGCATAGGATTTCGGAGGTATGTCTTTTGACATAAGATGCTTGTAATCGACCCCTGCAACTGAAAATATTTTTTCCAGGACGATTTGAAATTTTTTAATTTCACCATAATGTCTCGGCAGTTTCTCGAATTTTTTTCTCGGAACTGCATAGGATTTCGGGGGTATGTGTATTCACCAAAAATGCTTGTAATTGACCTCTGCAACCGAAAATATTTTTTCCAGGACGATTTGAAATTTTTTAATTTCACCATAAAGTCTCGGCAGTTTCTCGAATTTTTTTCTCGGAACTGCATAGGATTTCGGAGGTATGTCATTTGACCAAAGATGCTTGTAATTGACCTCTGCAACTGAAAATATTTTTTCCAGGACGATTTGAAATTTTTTAATTTCACCATAAAGTCTCGGCAGTTTCTCGTATTTTTTTCTCGGAACTGCATAGGATTTCGGGGGTATGTGTATTCACCAAAAATGCTTGTAATTGATTCTCCCGACCGAAAATAATTTTTTTAGAATGATTTAAAATTTTTTTTTTCACCGAACTTTCGAACAGTCATGTTCCCCCGTTAGTTTCGAGCAACCGTGATTAAAAATCGAAGGAAACATTATTAAAATTCCGTTCGCATCGTTCTTGACGGAGTTAAGGGCTCGAAACGGGTTCTCACTGTTCGTTAAATTCGATCGGGCCTTTGACAGCCAATCAAAGGGGGTTAAAGGTTACCCTTTGCTCTATCAAATTTCAATCATCGACGAGGGGGGCAGGGGGGGATGGTTGCAACAACGTTGAACCGAAATTCGATATTTTCGCTGGCGCGTCGACGCGACTCGTTGCTTTTCGACGTGTTTCGAAAAAAAAAACTCGACCGATAGCGGCCAACGGGGGTATGTGGGTGGTGGGGGGGGGCTCGACCATCCCCCATTGACCAAAAAATATCCGTTGGCTGTGTTTCGGTGGCTCGGAGAGATTCCTTTATTCATTGACAAATGCGGACCGATCATCCAAAACGTTTACTGCCTTTGTTCAGGCCATCTTCATTAATGACGCTTGTTCCCATCGAGCATTTCCAGGCTAGCAATTTTTTCATTCCCCCTCGAAGGTTATAGCTTCCCCAAATCATAATCCTTAGTTTTATTCAAGAAAATAGTCGTCTTTTTACAAAGTGTAAGATATTTTAGATATTTTCCCTTTAATCTATACTTAACGCAACCTTTCAATATCGTTTAATTTTCTTTGAATTTGTTTTTTGTAAGAAATTGCATATATCGAAGGGACGTTAGAAGGAAGACCCCCAGTCTATTTTAGACACCGAGTCTGGTTAAGACGTCGTCGCGTTTGCGAAGCCAGTTTTGATAACAATTTTTACCTACGTGTGAAATAAACTGTTTAATAATTGTTGGGGTAGATCGTGGGTTTGTTATTTGAACCCCCAGCCACCTCACGTTTATTCTAACAAGTTTCCTAACAGTTTTGTTATTATATCTACCAAGGGGTTAACAGCGTAAATACACAGTGTGATTCAATTTCGTAAGTTTTCGCTTTAAAAAAAAGTTTCTCGAAGCCTCTTCCGATAAATGGTAATTTTTTATATTAGCTGGAACGTATGTAGGTGGGCCGTAAAACGAATAAAAATCAACGAACCGAGATTGGACCAGGGGGGGGGAGGGTGGGGGTAGATCGTGAATTCGACAAACAAATGGACGCCCGTTTTCACGGCGCGACCGAACTCCGGGCAAATTTTCGCGGTAAATCGTTTTGTGCCTTGGACCATTAACGGTCCCCGAAGATTCGGGATCGTGACCTGACGTGCGGTTTCACGGCAGACGGAATCGCTGGTGAATCC